AGACGAGTTTTAAATTTTCCTTTTGATTTCAACGAAAAAGAGTCGTATGTCGTCCAAGTTATTTGTTATTTGCAAATATTGGATTTTAATCAAAATCAATAATCGATTGTAACGAGTTTAAATAAAAACATACACAATTTCATCGGAGAGACTATGTAAATGTATCTAACTTTGCAAGTAATCGTTTATCGACTCTAATACCAAACTCGAACATCTTTGGCTTCTGTGCACAGTGATTTAGTTAAAATTGTAATTGTCTAATCATCGATGCTACTTGTTTATCAGGTAGCATAAATCTTTGGTTATCGACTGTAATGAATGACTTGAAAATATTCATTCAGGGAATTGATATAATACGATGGCACGGCTATAAAGTGATTCGTGTAACAAGAACTTGGAATTTACTAGATTTAGTGATACACCTAACAAGGTTGTGATCATGAAACGTACTGCATGATATTATAAATTCTCAATTATGGATACGTAATGTTTATAATAAATACACGATGTAATAATCAAAGTTAAAAGAAATTCGATTCTTTACTTTTCTTTTTTTTTTAAATTATTATTCTTACATTATTTCTTCCTATTCTAAATTTTACCTATATTTCTGCAGTCATTCAGACTACAATAATCGATAACATCAAATTGAATAAAAATTCTAAATTTAATACATCCTGAAAATTTTCAATTTTCCAATGTACATCCAATAACGAAACTTTCTACTCGAGCAAACTATCGTTCGTTGAATCTTAAATTTTATTCTTATTCCATCGTCCAAAAAAAAAAAGAAAAGAAAGGAAAAGAAAGAGAGAAAAAGAAAAAGAAATAAAATCATTGAGTGCGCCCTCCCGCGTGTAGTATTCCTATCCCTGGCCAATTTTACATTACCCTTACGTCACATCACGCAAACACGTGCTTTCTTTAAATAAATCCAGAGCGACGAATATGCAAATACATGAGTCGACGAGTCAACGCTCGGCTTTCAGATCGTAGCGGAAAGATATCACGTCAGAGAACCGCTATCTGTAGTCATTAAACTCTTATCTGACGAATTAAAAGCAAGATACATCGAAGGATCAATAGCGATCGAACGAGAAAAAATGAAGAATATAGGACGAGGAAAATCTTTATCCTATCTCTGTTGCGAGTGTTATTACGAATATTTATGAAAGCGTGGATTACACGATTAAAATTTTTACGTATATTATATTTGATAGAAATTAGAGTAACGTACAATTATGATAAAAATAACTAGACGTTTCATATCGATAAAGATCAATGTTAATTTCACTTAAAGTATATGTTTGATAACTTAATAAATTCAGAGAGCAAAGAATTAAAAATTTTTGAAAATCATATCGATTCTTTTAAATTATAGCAATTTTTTTATATTCCTCGATCATTATATTTCCCTCGAATTAAATGCAACATTAGTACGCAAGGAAAGGAAAAGTTGTACAAGTATTCGTCGATTGAAATATTTATTTTCTTCAATTTAACGATCTGTTCTTTCCAATCATGGCTTTCTTTTTTTTTTAAACTATACTTCACAGAGAGAAACGTCAGCAAGTAACAAAGGTATGTATTTCCTTCGTTTTAAAATTATCTCTGTAAAAAATTTCTTTCCATTCTTTCTTTATTTATTCGAAGCGTGTTCGATACACACACAAAAGATACCATCATCATCCAGATGAAACTGTTCGATTATCAGCGTTGTAATGATGTAGTCATCTGGCGATGGAGGTAGGAAACGACACGCTATACATCGTAAATATTCAAACATCCATGCTGTTATCTCGCCGATTTATCACTACGATTGTGAGTTCGCCTATTCCATGATTTCCGTGACGTCAAGTCAAGTGTAAGAGCTCTCTTTATCTGTCGTCTAACTTTTTCTTTTCTTTCTTTACTTTACCTTCCTGAAGAAAAATCCTGATTCTTCGCGAGTATCGTATATAATATTATAGAAAAATTAGAGGAAATAAAAAATTTTTAATTTTCGATTTCATATTAATGAAATTGAAATTTATGTACGCTCTTTCAATAGCAAAACTGATGATTCATCGGTGTTGATCGAGTAAAGATATCAAGTATTAAAAGTGTACAAATTAATTGTAATACTTTTATAAAGCATCCTTTCGTTATCTGCACACATTGCAATATAAACTTCATACATACTTTTCACTCTGAATACAACTACAACTTTTAATACTCTACAAAAATTTAAAATTCTATACAATCCAAACCACGATGAAGATCTAAACCTCTAACTAACATTTTCTTACGTATTTTTCGTAATCGAAGTCTATCGTAAAGAATCGATAAACCATCATCAAAAAAAAAGAAACCGCTTCGTTCCACCGCTTTTATCGAATTAACACGATCTTCTTAACGGATCTTCTTATTCGTCCCAAGGGACGACAATTTCACGCAAGATGCGAGAGGAGAAGAGGAGGAGGCGCAATTTCCACGGCGTTTCGCATTAATTTCCGTTTCAATTAACCGAGATACCGATCGCACGGGTGTAAATTACGATTCTCCGTTATCGTTCGCGATCGAAAATCAGCGGCATTCCAAGCGAGGAGGAAAATGACGGAGAAGCTTTGAGAAGAGGAGGGAAAGGGATGACGCGGACAAATGGACGGAGGGGGGAGGAACGAGAAGGTCCGCGAAATAATCCACGGCCGAGCGCAATTAGCCACCTCGTTAATGATCGAGCAAGAGATAACTGGAAATTAGCGTTATGCGGATCTGGATTGGGATTGGCAGGGTTGAAGGTTGAACGTTATGAATATTATGGAGCGTAATTAGGGGATGAAGTCGTTGCTGGATCGCGTGTCTTGTTTATTTAAAATTGTGCGTGTGATGAAAAGAAGAAAAGTGAGTGGAATTTAGTATCGGCTCCTTTGGATATTTGGTAAAAGAAAGTACTAACGAATCGAGAAATCAGCATTTTCAAAGTTCCATGCGTTGCTTTATTTAGAGAAATGGGTTTTGGTTCAGGGAATTAATAGGTGCTCGCTAAGTGAAGGAAAGTAAGAAAGTAAGAAGGAAAGTATTAACACAAGAATGAAAATAAAATCCGGTCTATCGAAACAACGATTAATATTCTTTTCTACGAAATTATATGTGCCCCTCTCGGGACACTCCAATTACACAAAACTTGAACACCCTCGATCGCTCGTTCTCGAAAAAAAACGAATCTCTCGAATCAAACCCCAAATTGTTCGACCGATTAGGGAAAGAAAAACAAAAATATCTTCTTCCCACGCAGAGGAATCCTTCCTCGAATCATCCTCCTCGACCGAAATGGAGGAGGAAACGAATAAAACAACACTCCTGAAAATCTGTTTTTAATTCGAGGGAGATCCCTCGACCGGTGATTTTTCATTTCGTCCTCCTCAAGGAATGCTGACCACGATTCGTCGAAGCATCATCAGGCGTGTAAGAGTGTCGAGCAACGCGAGTAGTGGCTCTCTAGGCGCAGGTTGGGTAGGAATATGAGCGCGCGCACTGGCCGAGTGTGCGAATAAAGGTTGGTGCAACGAAGGAGAGGATACGGGCGTGCACGTGTGGGTGTTGGTGTAGGTGTGGGTGCTTTGGAGCAGCGGCCTTACAAGGACGTCTGGACGTTCCTAGCTTTCCCTGAGAGAGCCGTGTTGCACACCTTGGGACGTTAAACGGCGTTAACGGATCTTTCGCAACACGCGGCGGCGAAGACGCCACGAATTACGGGCTCGAACCGTTTCGTGATCGAAAATCGATAATCGCCGGCCAACCGACCGTGTATCCAATTTGTCAATCGTGTGCCGGCGACCTCTCTTGTCACGCAGCTCCTCGCTCACGAATAGATAACGCGCTCTAATGATTTATGACGTGGCGAGGTTGGGCGATAAAGAAATTGGCGCGAAATTGAAATTTTGTGTCTCGTAAGGATTCAGAACTCGGACGAGGAGGGGAGTTATTATTATATTGTTGGAATTTAAATGGATTTGATCGATAAATTTACAGGAGGATGAACACGAGCGATTATATTTACTGAAAGATAGAATTTTAATGAATCGAAATCGAAGGAAATATAAAATTGCTATCTTTCAGACCCTTCTTCTCCAAGAATATATATATGAACGGAATGTTACTTTAATAAATTAAACTCCTTAACAATCTAAGAAAGATTAATCGCCAGGCGTCGTAAACGACGCTACATTCATCAATCGTTCCCTCGGAAAACGAAGATCGAATCCCATCGAACCGCAATAAAATCGAACATTAAACTCTCCTTTAACATCGTTCCGCATCGAAAGAAAGATAAAAATGGTCCTATATTAAATCCTGCTAAATCCTCTCAGCATTAAAATACTCATACTATTTAAAATACTTAATTATTTACCACGTATACGTTATTCCAACGAAACAAAGGAGACAAAATGAATGCTTACCTTCCAAGCTCTCCTCCCCCAACGTGCGTACTCCTCCAACGGTGGTGGACGACACGTTCTCGACTCGCGCCCCCAGCAAACTATCCAAAACCAGCTCGGCGACCGATCGCCCGTCCACGCTCTTCTTCCTCGCCCCCTCCTCCTCTTTCGTCGCGCGCACACCGGCCCATAACACAACCAGCAAAAATACGATCAACAGGACGACGCTGATCACAGCGGCGACGACGGAGGCGCGACTCGAGATCCGCGACATGTCTGCGCGCCCCCCCTTCCACGCTATTTCTACGCTCGCCTTTCTTTATTATGCTCGCCTGTCCCTCGCCTCCCCCTCTTCCAACCTGAGGAAAGAACGCGTCCTTTTTTTTTCTTCTTCTTCTTCTTCTTCTTCTCTTTTTCGGAAAAGGGAGACAGAAGAGGAGAGACAGATCCCGGCCGAGGTCAGTCGATCATTTTCGTGGCTTCGAGGAGAGGAGGATTATCGCACCATTCGGGTGATTCGCCACTCCTGAACCACCCCTCGAGCGCCCATAGAGAGACCTCCTCTTCCTTCAAGCGGACGGATCCTGTTTCCTCCTCTCGCGAAACGAGCCGGCTAAATGCAACCGGGATCCAACCGCGGTACGCCCATTAAGAAGCGAGACGATTCGACGTGCGCCTATCCACCAGAGGTGTCGTTACCTCTGCGCGAGCCACGATTACGCTGTGCTTGCTGCGGCTGGACTTTCGCGTTCGGTTAAGAGACGGGCATGGCACGAGGAGGCGAGGGGGTTGTGGATTTTTGGTCGTCACCTCGCCGCTTCTTCTCCTCTCATTCCGGCCTGAAAATGAAAAGAGATGGATTAGTGACAGAGTTGATGATTTTGTCGTCTGATTGATTTTTATCATTGATCGAGGTTAAACGTGGGGGAAGTAGAATTTTCGAATAATTTTTTCGGTTAATATCAAATTGCTCGATTCTCTTTTGATTGGAAAGAATTTTATTTGGAAGAAAAGTTGTGTTGAGTTTCTTTTCGTTTGAGGGAAGAGGTTAAAGGAAAGCAAGGCTCTCTTGAGAAGGTTTACGCTACCGTTTGATAAGTAGAAAAGTGAAAGTGAGATAACGGGTGTTGTCGGCTAAGATAACCGCGCATAGATAATTGAATATCGCTACCCTAATTATAAAACCTGTTAACTCATCAAAATTTCAAATAAACGTTAATAATACAACGTCTTTTTTTTTTCCTCTTTAATTTACGTACAACGACAAAATCAAATTCTTCTTCTTTCATACTTTTTAAGTATGCTTTGCCGTTTCAATAAATTACACGATACGATTCGATTCGTAAGATATATATTCGTGATCCTGCCTATGAATCTTTTATCAATCTTTAAAAATCTCTTATACAAATGCATCCAACTACAGACACGAATTCCACGAATTCCATCCGTCCAGCCGAGACTGATCCAACGGCAGAAAAGTAACAACAACAACAACAACAAGGAAAAAAAGCAAAGAAAATTATAACTTAAATTGGTCGTTAAAAACGACCATTAATCAATTAAAAACTCCACACATAACTCACCAAGCAATATTCATCCAACGACAGATATTCCACACACGATTCACAAGCTCGCGCAAATAATAATAAGCATGCACAAGTCGAATCGTGGCGGTTGGAAAAGTAACAACGGGGAGGAGGGAGAAAAGAGGGGGGAAAAGGAAGAGAAGGAAAGAAGAAAAAGGAAAAGAATCGAGAAAACAAAGGAAACGGCACGAGGGAAAACATTTAGACACGGTCAGAGACGGGAGAGAATGATTTCCACGATGAGGTCACCGGCACGGGAGATGATTTCTCCCGTGTCGAGCAATTTAACCGTGCGAATCGCCGTGAAACCGATTCGTGTCGCGTTAAACATTTACGACGCGGTGCGTCGTTCTCTTATCGCGCGACACGGAGACCACCGCGCAAATAAATTTCCGATCGTATCTTCGAGAAAGGAAGGGAGGAAGCGAGGAGAAGGATTAATCGACGCGTCCCTGATTGGATCGAGCAGCCGCGTTAATTCGGAAATAATTGACTTAAGCCACGCGTGATTGAGCTGAAAATCATCCAACCACCTCGAGGAGGTGGATTCATGGAGGTGGAAGGATTTATTTTTTCTTCTTCTTCTTCTTCTTCTTCTTCCCCTCCTTCTTTCCGCGTCCGGTTAAACGCGAATGAACGAGAAATTATGATGAGAAATTATTTATGGAAAGATTGAAAAGAAAACTGTGAAAGAGAAATCTTTGCGAAAATTGATAAAAAATTTAAATGAGAATTAAATAAGTGTTGGTCAACTAGAGAATTTGATAATTCGAAGAACTTTCTGAAAGTTATATTATAAAAAATTATAAAAAAAAAAAAAAGAAGAAAAATCAAGAAACTAGAGAAACTCAAAGATCGGAAAATCTCAAGTCGAAGAATTCAAAAAAAAAAAAAGATGGCTTCTTTATGGATTTTTTTTAACCGTAACAAATCTCTCTTCTAAACTTTCGTCGACGATCAGTGCAAGACGGTTTCCCAGTGCAAGAGATATTCCCTCCTCTCATCGTGGATGATTTCTCGACGATTCCTTTTTTTCTTTTTCTTCACATTCTCTTCTCGATCTCCGTGGCTGGGTGTCGTAAATTAGAGCTCGAGGGCTGCCACGTCTGGGACCACACCGCGGGCCGCGATTCAATGTGAACGATCCCGTTTGAAAGTGAGAAACAATCTTAACTGTTATTTTTATCGAATACTTTTTCTCATGGTTTCCAACTTCAAAGAGGGGGCTCGAGTTTTTGAATTTTTGTCGTGTGTAAATTCGAACGTGAAACTTATGGGAACAGTATGTCGAGCATGTTCGGCCTCGTCTCGGAGCCTTAATGATTCCGTTCGCTCGATATGGTCGGATTATATGCTGTAATTTAGAGAATGAATCACCGAAAGCGTTTTTAACGCGATCGACCAAGGAAGCATTTTGAATGAGAATATGGTTTCGATGATGATAGACTTGATCGCCGAATAAGCCTTGTCTATGATATACGATGTATTTAACATTCATTCGAATATATCGTTTGGACCTGTGAGTTTATCCTTTCGTCTTAAATTTTCTTGGGGATATTTCAAAACTGTTCGAAAAAAAGTTTCTCGATGAATGAAAATTTCGAGATAAAATTAAACTTCGATTCGGAAAAATTCTTTCGAGAATTGGAATAAAAAATTGTTCAGATTTAAAGATCGACGAAAGAAATATTTTTGCGATGCAAAATCCGTTTCTATACGTACGTATCGTATATTAGTTTATATTAGCATTGTTGTTGGTATTGAAAGATCGACCACAATTTAATTTGGTCTCTTGACCAAGAGAACAGAGACGGAAATCGGTAATTAGACCACGTCAGACGGTATGTATAAATAGCGCTCAACGATTTCTTTCAACCGTTTCATCGAACGCTTCTTCGAATCTTACGTTCAGTTCTCTTTAATTGCAAAATAACCCGCCTTTCCATCTACGAAAAACTTTTTCCCTATCGATTATCGACCAATTTTTTTGATTCGATCAAATGAACGAATTTAAAATTTCAAGATAGATTAATTGAATTTTGAAAATAAACAGACTCAAAAAAAAAAAAAACACTCAGTTTATATATAATTAGAAAACGATATCTCTCGTTAATATGCCACATGTTGGCGGTACCTTGAAATATATCAAAAACACAAGAATGGAATTTCGAATGGAAGTTAATTCCCCACGCATCTATTGCGCACAACGAGCATTAATAAATGCTCTCTCGAAGATTCATTAGCATTTATCAGGCAAAGAAAACACCATCGATCAAGGATCGAATAGTGGATTATTCAGAGAACGCAGTTAGCCGTGGCCAGACCTAACAATCGCCAACTTAAAAATCTCAAGGATTTTTTCCTTCTTTTCGAGAACCCACACCGGTTCCACGAAATTTTTAAGAAAAAAATTTCCTGTCAACAACTATTATAATATCAGCTATATCCGATATTTATTTGTATATCGCATCGATTATCGATATACCTCCATTGTCCGTATTTCTATTTTTATCGAACAAATGTCTCTTTTTCCATCGAACGAGTACGATTTTAAAAATCAATTTTTAAACAGAAACACACACATTTCATTGTTTGCAAAGAGATTTATTTCATCGATTAGTTTGCTGAAATTGATAATAACTTTTATCGAGATAGATATTTGTCGATCAATTTAAATATCAACAAGATCGTATTTTCATTCCACCGTTAATTAAACCTCTTCCCTTTCGCTTCGATTCACGTCGGCAAGGAAATCCGTTTTAAATGAAGTTTCACCCGCGACAAAAATAACGTAATCTCCTCGAACGACGGTATCTTTGAGGGTTAACGAACGTCAGTGAACATTTGCAAACATTTCGCGCGGCATTGGATATACCCGACTTAACGAACCTACGAGCCGTAGACCACAGAGAGTCCTCTTTGCCGTCGTTGGTAGAAAATCAAAGAGTCTAACAACTCTTTCAGAATAAAAGCAACGAAAAGCGCGTGCATGTAACGTATACTTCTCCGATCCGCGTGCAACATAATGGTCGGTTGTATTGCTCGGTTCAAAAATTTTCCATCCTGCATTTCAAACGTTTCTTTGAATAAATAATAATGGAATAATTTTTCGGACGTTGGACAACAAGTTCGTTTCCAATTTTATATTTCAAAGTAATTTGAATATTTATCGTATATATGATTTGAGGTTCGTTCACGTTTGCTAATCTTTAAAAATTGAAGTTGAAAATAAAAATATTAGAAAGGAAAGGATAAAACTTTCGAAAATATTTATCGTCGAAAGTAATTCCACAAAATGGTTAATGCTGTGAAAATAACATTCTCATCGCAATGATTAATCGCAAGAAATATTATTTCGATTCGCAACGAATTATTATTTATTTTAGCCGCATACTTTATCTTGAATTTCTTCTTTTTTTTAACTTTTACAAAATTATATACTAATAATCGATATACTATCTTCGTCTCGAATATCCAAAAAAAAAAAAAGACGATGCTTAATTTTTCTCTCTCCTACGACGATTAATAATAAAATAATTAATTCTTACGTAAAGTCTTATTCAATTTTCATTCGAAAAATTTCGATAAAATCCTCGACAATTTTACCTTCCCTTTTTCATTCGAATTAACCAAGCTTCTCCCCTCCAACAATCACGCAATTACGATATTAAAATCTCTCTCTCTCTCTCTCTCTCTCTCTCTTTTTAAAACAATCTTCGATAAGACGAAATCTTCACAAAGCCCAAACAACTCGTTATCTCGAGATCCAGAAATTAACGTCCCTCGGCATATCTCGCGAAACGAGAAACGAAAACGGTCGACAGGATATTTTTCGAGCATGCTTCACCGCGATCCAGTATCGCGCAATATAACACACGGTTGTGAACGCATACCTCGGATAATGAAAGCTTGGAGAGGAGCGTTCACAGAGAGGAAAGTCTGCGGCCGCGACGACGTCGTCGCCGAGTGAAATATAAAAGCGACGTCCCGGCTGCTGACCTCGCCAGTCACTTAAGGTCTGGGTCAAACTATTCTCGTCGCGTACCTTTCCTAGCCCGATTCATCGATCGATCGATCGATCGATCCTTGTCTGCGAATTTCTGGCCAACGCGTAAGTAATTTCTTCGATCGAACTCACTTGCAACACTCGAAACACGTAATATTTGATTCTTCTTCGTCTGTGCGTGTATATTATGTGTGATGTTTGATTTGATGCAGAGTTGGAGTTGTGAGAAGATTTCGAAGCGATTGAA